TTTTTTTCAAATCAAAATAGTGCAAAAGCACATGTCGAAAAAACACTTTATCGCGTTCCATTTTTCACAAAGCAAAAGAAATTGTTGTTTAGGAAAATAATTGTGTATGCTGACTGAATGTTATCGAGAAATGTCGAAATTAATCACAAACTACCTGTTTCGTTAGTAATGACTACTAGAACTGTTTGCATTGCCATCTAACATTTGCGGGCGGAAACTAAGTTAAGGTCCTAATAGTATAGTTAACAAAGATACAAAAAGGCATTTATTGTTTAATATTAAACATAAGCATAAGTTGTATGAAAAAAAAAAATCGGCAGATTTCTGACTATATTTTGAATAAAAATTAAGTCTACGATTATTTTGTATAATTTCATTGACAACACAGTTCCTTAATTTTCACGTACTATTTACGCCATTTCGGATTAATTGTGACCTGCTAAGATTTAAGACTGATATCAATACATTGCATATAAGACGGATACATATGATGCTGATGCTTTCATGATCTAAAATAAGACATAAATTATTAACACAAAAACAAGCATACATGTATACATGAAATGATATATTTTGTACCAAGCAGTGATATTAGAAAAAGTGTAAAAGACATCGAGTATACTTATAGATCTAGAAAAGTCGCCAAACTTACACTCGTGAATGTCTCCAACGATAAATTTGTCATTCCACCTGCCGTGATGTTCAGTTGTTTCTGAGATCTCATAATTACGAATAATAGCTTTTTACTCTGATTAGGAATCATATTATACCATAGAGAATTGTACGCTGCATCCGCAAGTGATTTACTCTGGGAGAGTATTAAAATGTGCAAATAAAAAAACATCCACTCATTTTAAGATAAATGTATCTTAAAACATGCATGTTGTAAATGTTTTTAATTAAATATTGTTTCAAACAACAGAGCTATTACGACTAATAATAAACCATAATATTAAATTGTGCAGGAAAATTATTTATATCTAACAACATTTCGATACTCACTAACCTTGAAACTTAGGTATTCTCCAACAAAGCAAAAGATAAAAACTTCCATCACCATAGCACTATAAGCAAATATGGTTTTCAACAGGCCGATACCAATTTCTTTATCAGACTGTTTCATTAAACGATCAAAAAGACTGAATGAATTATGATATTCATTATCGCGCACACGTAAAGATACTGCAATACTTACTGCCATAAGGAGGAATCCTAAGGCGCAAATAACTATGGTATTCAAAAGAATTTGCGTCAAAGCTACCAAGGAGAAAAGTTTACCGATATTCTGCGAAAATGAGATGACTTTATTGTGCTTTTCGATCAATATTCCTATGGTATGTTCAGAAGATCCGCAATAGAATGTGTTCTCGGAGAGAGCTTTAAAGTCTTGACATATGATATTGATTTGTCCGCTCACATGGAGTACCTAAAATATACTTAAGTATCTGCAAAGATTTCAAGTATCATGTTTAAAGAAGCAATTGCGTTATGATGGATATCTCGAATAAAAAAAAGAATAGGAAATAGGAGTGAAAGAAAGAGAAAACAGCACATATTTTCTCGTATTGTATATAACTGATAATTTAATTATTAAAATCTCCCGTTCAGTGATCAAAAAATTGTCTCATTTTCTGACCAAGTTCAAGGCGACATCAGAGTATGAAAGCAGGTTTCGCAAATTATGATCGATGGTAACTAAAGTTATATCACTTCTGCCGCAAATGATACTTCTGAATCAATTCGTCGCAGAATTCTACGAAACGTACCAGAGTAAAAATCAGCGAGTTCACAACAGTAACCGTTAACACGTGAAACATTGCATGCACAAACAAGCCGACGACAAGTAGCTCATAGATCGGTGATTGGTCAGTCTCAAAAGGAAAAAGTATCTTCATAGGAAACGGTCGCGTGGTATCATTGTCCCCCTCCGACTGTTGTATGATTGCAATCGCGTTATTGCCCAAGTAGTAAAGCGCACCGGCGAATGCGTTGAAACTGAACAAAGCGTTCGACAAAAAGTGCGCGACACTGGCTTTCGCTGTCATCAAGTACAAATGTTGATCGACGTTCACGCACTCACGCCAATCTGTGTCCATGTCAGCCAGTATATCGCGAACCACGCTGTAATGTTTTGCTTTAATCGAATAGAGATATTTCGTGCGATGGCGCTATCACCTCTCACGCCAAATTATAAATCGCCACATCGATTGATACTTAGACAGTGCAATTAAACAGGTGACAAGAATGGTACACACTCAGAGACGATCTCGTGTCTCGAGCGCGTAGACAGATTCGCGGAACTCGAAGTCGTACTTTCTGTGACATAGTATCTTACCGGCGATTTGTCCAAAGAGTCATCAGCTTCACGGCTGTTAAACTGTAATCTATAGTCGCCGGCAAGCTGTCCATGAGATCCTGCAGCTCGTCGAGCTTAAGGTGCGCGAAGAGGTACAGATACTGAAAGTACTGCACCACAATTATGCTCGACATGAAAACTAGCCGGCGAACGACGATGTATCGCATGTCCGGCCATGCGCAGAGTAATCGGAGACCGATTCTTAGCGTCGGACTAACCGTACTCGTGAATACCATTTGTTAACGATTCACAGAAAGTACACGGTGAAATAAAACTCAAACTATGCACGATGTTCTGGTGTACGGTAAACTGAAAGAGCACCGTCCAATCCTCCAAGTGCATCCCCACGTGCTACGACCCCACTCCTGTGACTACCGTTCAATCGTTATTATACGTTCCGTAGTATAACAAAATGATGAGATGTAGCTCATTATTTGCAGGTACCTCTTTTAATTCCAGCGGCACTTTGAATAATGTGTACTGACCGCACTTCAGGAAAAAATGTCCCCTCATAGATGTCAGTCTTCCCTCTTTTTTTTTTTTTCGAGAATTTCTCTTCACGACAATGCTATACCATCGATAGAATGCGAATGTTCCTCGCATTTTCTACGTGTGCCGAAGGCTATTAAACGTACGCCAACTGCATTAGATATTCTAACAGAACGGAACTGTATCGCACGCATGGCCACGAGTTTTAAAAGAAATAATTGGGGGGAGCACATTGTATCTCCTCTCTTATGACCAGGAGCGAATAACGAGTAATAGCGAGTAATTTTTATAAATGTTACAAAAAAGCAAAACGTTCTTCGGGATGTATATGCAACAGGAGTTTAAGAATTATAAAAAAGTTTCCGCCGATTAGAGTTGCTGTAGAAGCTTAGTTACAGGTAAAATGCGAGTGATTTTCGCAATTTCTGTGTGTGTAGTGTACGTAACAAAGCAACAAGAAAAGTCATTCATATTCGATTTTATATTAAATATAATTAGAGAATATCTGCGTTGTAATAAAGCACTTGTAAGCCAATATGGCTTGATAGAAAATTATATATCTATTGACCACACATAATCAGACAGTAATTTAAGATAGTGCTTATTATTTATCAGGCTATACCATAAATGCATCAAACTATATATCCGACGGTGTATTAAAATGAAGTTCATATCGTCCACTAAACTATAATAATCGCTTTGTCAGTTTTACATTCTTTCATGCATCACGATGTAACAATAGAAAAGAAAAAACGAAAAAGCCATTTTCCATATATTATGAAGATTATATTTAATACGTGCAAACACGGCTGAGTGATCGCAATTACGTACTAGGCGTTCAAACCGATTAGGCTTGTATGGTAATCGTAATTGTTGAAAGAGAAATGATCGAGGGAAGGAAATATTATGGCTCCTATGTGCTGAGAAGGGATAAGGTAATAACGAGTAACTTTTCTTCATGTTTTAGTAGTTGATTCTCTGCCGATCATATCTCCAGCAAAATTATCGAAAGTAGAAGGACCAGAATCGACTAGATATGAGTGGGAGACTACTTGAAAGCACAAGCAGCGAGAAACTTAAACTATGCAGAGATACTCAAGCTTCCGATGAAAGTCCAACAGAAAATTTCTTGGATATGATGCGGACTATACATCCACGTTATTATTTTCTAAGTAAAAATATCATAATATGCACTATATAACAACGCGCAAAGCAAAAGCATGAGGTATTTATTGCATCTTATTAACTATAAGCTCAGATTCTGTAACCATCTAATACCTGACACTTTGAATCAGTATCAAGATTCAATATACAATTATTACCTAGTTTCATTGATTACAGTTTCTAAATTGTCAACCTTTACTAATTACATTTATCGCTAATATTGTCATTCTATAAGTTTTAAACAACGTCAATACATCGCATTCAAAACGGACATATATGACGCGGACGCTTTCATGATCTAAAACAAACGAATTGTCATCCGCAAAGGTATGTATATTGTAACAAGAGTTGACATTTATTAGAAAGAATACAAAGAATAAAATAGTTATACACTAAATAAAGCCCACCTACTTACGCTGGTGAAGGCTTCCAACGATAAATCCATCATTCCTCCAGCCGTCATGGTCAATTGCTTCTGAGACCTCATAATTATGAATAATATATCTTTACAATGACTGGGCGCCATATTGTACCATAAAGTTTCATATCCTGCATCGCCGAGTGATCTACTCTAGGAGCAATGCAACAAACAGAAATTCAAATAAAATGACACTTTAGATTATCAGAAAAATTAGTAACAGTTTTTCATTTATAAGCACTACAGAATATTTATAATACAATCCAGAATAACGATACATGAATCTTTGCATGATTAATATAGTGATGTATATGTACAATTATTATATATTGTATTATTATATGTTGTGTGTATGCTGTTTCTTTATTTGAACGTAAAATAGAAATAAAGAAAAACTTACAGAGACTAAAGTACACATTAATATCAATATATATTAAAATACATATATATTAAAAAATGTTTACGCTATAATAATTTTTTAATAGATATTGTCTTAAATAAACTGCTATTGTCATACATTAATTATCAAATTAAACAGCACAAGAAAATTATTTATATTAAATAATCACTAACCTTAAGGCTTAGGTATTCTCCAACAAAACAAAATGTAAAAATTTCCGCTGTTATACCGGCGTATGCAAATACGGATTTGAACAGACCAACACCAGCTTTATTATGAGACTATTTCATTAAATGATCAGAAAAACTAAATTAATTATCGATATTAATCACTGCACGCTCATGTGGACGCTCACTGCCATACTCACTGTTATAAGGAAGAGTCCTAGGAAGCAGACTACTAAAGTATTACCAAAAACTTGTATCAGAGCTATGAAGGAGAAAAGCTTGTCAACATTCTCAGCAAATGTGATGACTTTATTGTGCCTGTCGACCAGCATTCCTGTTGAAAAACGTGGAGATCCATAATTCATCATTTTCTCAGACATATTTTTCAATTGTTGACATATGATTTCGATTTGTCCGCATGCATGAAATACCTAAAATATACTTAAGCATCTGCAAAGATTTCAAGCATTCTATTTAAAGAGAAAACATATTTTAAAGAATCTCGATTATATAGAAAAAGAAGGAAAAGATGGAATGCAATGCATTCTGCCCTTCTCATTCGCCAAGTGTTTGTGTGTCATTCATTATTGATTATACAAGTCTTTCTATCGGTTGCCAGTAAACTTTCAGTCATCTAGATCGAATATAGAATATTGCCAGAGAGTTGGTATAAAAACATATTTAGCAAATTATATTAAATCGCAAATCTCTTATCGAAATTTTTAGATTGTGAGTCAAATGATGGTCACACCATTTTGCAAAACATACCAGAGTAAGGATCACACCGGACAGAACATTAACGATAATTATTGTCGACATTCCGTGCAGAAACAAGATGAAGACAAGCAGCTCGTAAACCGGTGATTGCTCGGCCGCTGAGGGGAACACTACCCTCACGGGAAACGGTCGTGAAGTAACATTGTTGCCCTTCAGCATGTGCACTATAGCAATCGCATTTTCGCCACCGAAGTAGAGCAAACCAGCAATAGAGTTCAAAGCCAACAAGCCGTGTGCGCAAAAACTGGAGATGTTAGCTTTCGTCGTCATTATGTGCAAGTGCTGATCGACTTTCACGCACTCGCGCCAATCAGACTCTATAGTGGCCAGTATTTCACGAATCACGCTGCAATTTGTCGCTTTAATCGGATAGAAATACTTCTTGAGCCGTGCCATTGCTACTTCTCTATACTAGGGATTATATACCGCGGTATCAACTAATATTTAGAGAGCGTAATTACTAATTGCAGTTTCGCTTTAAAGAAGATCAGCGAACGAATGGTTACCCGCTGAGAGATTCACCGTAACGATTCCATAACGATTTCGTGCCACAAGCACGCAATATCGGGAGAACCAGGAAAACAAAATCACGTTGTCACAGTATCTTACCGATCGTACTTCCAAAGTGTTATCAGCTTGACGGCGGTCAAAGTGTAATACATGGTCGATGGTATGCTGTCCAAGAGATTTTGTAGCTGGCTATACTTGAAGGTCACGTAAATGAACAAATATTGAAAGTACTGTATGACGACTAAGCTTAACACATAAATCAGTCGACGAACGTCGGCGTAGGGTACGCCCGGCCATACCGCGAATGCTCGAAGGCCGATTTGCAGCGACGGACAGATCGTGCTCGTGACTACCATCTGTCTACGGTTCCAAGGATATACTAGGAAGCAAACGTCGGAGCATGTACGATACTCTAGTAAACGATAAACTGAGAGAGCACCGACCAATCCTCCAAGTGCATCCCCACATGCTACGTCCCCACTTTAATGTTGGCGGATCAATCGTTGTTCGAGAGCGAGATTAATTATTTAGCGTTAGGCAATCGAACGTTCGAGAACGTTCGCTCGCCCGCTATCATCGCTATGGGCTCGCGCTAGCCGCAGCGCGAGTCCACTTTTTTTTCAGCACTGATTTCGCTGGTTGTCCGCGGTTGCCATGCCGACCATACGCGCAAACAAACAAACATTCGCGCTTTTCTTCTCGCAAGCTAGATCGCTGCTGTTACCGTGCAGGCATTATTTGGAAATGATCTCGAAGATTCGGCAACCGCGACCAACCAGCGGGCGACTTGTCGCCAAGTGCTTTTTCTTTAAAAGCTGCCCTCGCCGACGGCGAGGGCAGTCCGTGCTTCGCAGCGATCAGTAAAGGAGCACGTCTCGATCAGCTGAGAAACAGCTAATCTTCAGCTCCGGCTATCTCAGCAAACGCGTCGCGTCTCAAATCGGTCCGCCAGCTATCTTATCTGTAGCGGGACTGAGCGCTCCGTTGCAATTGCAATTCCTTCGACGCGGAGGAGCAGCGCCGCGACGCCTCTCGAGCGCCGAGAGCCGATCTCTCTCTCTCTCGGGCCAGCTCCGCTCTCTCGAACGCGAGTTAGCGACCGTTGTTACTCGCTTGCCGCTCGCGCCGTTAGCGCGCTATCGTGCCTCAATTTTGTTTGTTCTGTGAATACTTGTGCGTGATTATTGTGCACCGACTGCGTGATTACGATACTACGAGAAAGGGTCCGTTCGACGGTTCGCGGACGCGGGCCAGGGTCGTAGAAGATTTCCGTCCGCGGAGAGAGAATCGCTCTCTCAACAAGATTTCCGTCCGCGGAGAGAGACCCTCTCTCTCAACAAGATCTCCGCCGCGCTCGGCTGACCCAGCCGTCGGCACTCGAAGATTTCCGTAGCGAACCAGCTGGCCGTCGAACTGCTCCCTCGGACAGTGGTCGGTTCATCAATAAAGTGTTTTCCAAACCAACTGCTGAGTTGTTCAATTCGCTCTCCTACCTCACCGCGCCCTGCGCTGGGCGCAATCAGCGCGTCAGCTCGCTGCCCGACGGGAGCTCAGCCCGTCGGATCCGCGACAATCGTTATTATACGTTCCGCAATGTAACAGAAAATCGAGAACTCATTACGTGCATGCAACATCATGTAATTCTGTAGGCGCATTAAATAATGCCATCTGACCGTACATCGAAAAAAAATTATTACGTTTCTCCTCCTGCAGATGTCAGTCTTCTCTCTTTTCTCTTTCTTTTTCAAGAACTTTCCTTCATCACCATGCTATACCTTCGATAAATTATAATTAAATTTTGCGTTTCCTGCTGATACCGAGACCATTAAACGTACTATGACTGCATCAGTTATTCCAACAGAACGGGACTGAATTATACGGCTGACTATGAGTTTTAAAAGAAATAAACGAAGGTAGAAAATTGTGGCTCCAGTGCAGTAGGGGTGTCTCAAGCGATCGTCAGTTCTTTTTCCTTCTTTTTTTTCGATAATTCTCCTCAGCGATGACATTATACCATCGATGAGAAGCGAGTAATCCTCGCATTTTGTACATGTTCCGAGGACAACGTTCGATGGCATTTGTTATTCTAACGGATAAGAATTGAATTGCAGGCGAGTATTAAAAAAAGCAAACGGAGGAAATACATTGTATTTTCCTTTGTTCACGATTGAATAGCCAATAATGACGAGTAATTTTCATAAAAGTTATGAAGAACAGCGTTCTTTGGAATGCACATGTGGTAAGAGTCTCAAACGAAAAAAATTCTGAACAACTTGATTCGCTGTAGAAAATTAGTTATAAATAGTCAGTTAAAATCAGTCATACTTTTCTATTGCTTTATGCCGCATAATACAAAGAATACATCTCATAATCCACTAGAAAGTTTAATACAATTTGTCTCCGCTCATGTGTCTATTGATCAGTTGCATTTGAAAAATATTTCGAGATAACGCTTGTAATTTGCCAGACGGTCCTATAAATTCATTAAAATCATATGTCCGACCGCGCATCCGAAAAAGTTCGTATCACGCGATAAATGGTAATATCTGCTTTGCCAGTTGTTTCATACACTTTGTTCCAGCGATGCTACAAAAAAGGAAATGAAAAAAACGAGCGACTATCTCTTTCTTCATATATCCTGTATATATCCTACTACTTAATGGACGGAAACGTGGTTGAATGATCGCAATTACGTATTAGACATTCAAACCGATCGGGTTTGCATTGTAACCGTGGTTATAAAGCTTTTGTAAGAGAAATAAAGAAGAAAGAGAGAGAGAAAGAAAGATTTTATTTTTCGTCTATATTGAGAAAGCGTAAAATAATAACGGACAATTTTCTTCGATATTTGAGTGAGTCAATCTTTTGTCGAGTGTATAAATAGAAATATGAAAAATAAAAAACATGAATCGATATAAATTTAAACTTGTTGCAAGCATAAGCGGCAAAAAATGCTATATGGACTGTGCAGAGATATTCAAATTTCCGATGAAGATCCAACGGACTATACTCTAAATATCTATTACTATATTCTAAATAAAAATATTATGATATACAGTATATAACAATGCGCAAAACAACAGAATAAGGTATTTATTGCATCTTATTAATTATAAGCTTAAATTCTGTAACCATCTAATACCTAACACTTTGAATTGATAACAAAATTTAATATACAATTATTATCTAGTTTCATTGATTACAGTTTCCGAATTGACAACCTATACTAATTACGTTAATTATCGCTAATGTTGCCATGCTATAGTTTAAAACGATATCAATACATCGCATTTAAAACGGACATAAATGAGCAAGAGGCTTTCATGATCTAAAACAAGACAAAACGAATTGTCATCCGAAAGGAGGAGCATATTATAACAAGGATTGATATTAATTGAAAAGAATACAAAGAATCAAATAGTTATACGTCAAGTAAAACCCACATACTTACGCTGGTGAAAAGTTCTAAAGATAAATCTTTCACCCCTCCAGCCGTCATGGTCAGTTGCTTCTGTGACCTCATAATTATGAATAATATGTCTTTACTCTGACTAAGCGACATATTGTACCATAAAGCTTCGTATCCTGCATCGCCAAGTGATCTACTCTAAGAGCAATGAAACAAACAGAAATTTAAATAAAATGATATTTTATTTTTATTTTAAATAAAAACAAAATTTTTTATTTTAAATAAAATAATATTTTATTTTATTAATAAAAAAATTACTAACAGATTTCGCCTATAAACAACACAATATACTTATGATACTGTGGGATACTCTTTTAAGTTGGTAAAATGATATTTAATTTAAAAGTCGTTGTTCCTAGATAAATTAATTCATCAAATGCAAGTGGGATTTGCTGAGATTCGACTTTGCTTTTCTCGAATTGATACCTCTCGATGCTTTCACTACTCGCTCTTTTTTCCTACTCATGGTGACGGAACAAAAACTTCGCTCCTTCTCACTCGTTTCGCGACTCGATTCTCCTCTATTTTACAAATTTGCGTCTCCACGTCTCCGTCACAACTATACTATATTTGTTTTTTCAACATTTTATATTCCAGATATCGTTTTGCCTCCAATCATGTGATATCCATATAATATCATCGTGATCATACCGATAAGAGTAAGAAATTAATACAAGAAACTAAATAATACAAGTGAAGTTATACGTGTCGTTACATTACAAGCGTTATATTTGCGATTGTTACTTTTAAAAATTATCACAATACACTCAACAATAACGACACACAGATCCTTACATAATTACTATAGTGACGTATGTATATATGTTGCGTGTATGCTGTGCGTGTGCACCTTTTTTTAAATAATTTACAATTTAAAAAAGACTTACATTAGCAAAAGTCCAAGCTAATATCAATATATATTAAAATACAGGTATATTAAAATGAGTGTGCTGTAATCATTCTCGAACATATATTGTCATTGAAATTGCTATGTTTTAAAATTAATTATCAAGTTAAGCAGCATGAAGAAATTATACTAAATTATCACTAACCTTAATGCTTAGGTATTCTCCAACAAAACAAAATATAAAAATTTCCGCCATTATGACGGCATAACCAAATATGCCTTGAAACAGGGCCACACCACTTTCATTATGAGACTGTTTCATTGAATAATCAGAAAAACTAAATTAATTATCGGTACAGATCACTGGAAGCGCATGAGAACGCTGCGATACTCACTGTCATAAGGTAGATTCCCAGGAAGCAGACTACTAACGTATTGAAAAAAACTTGCATCAAAGATATGAAGGAGAAAAGCTTCTCAATATTCTTAGCAAATGTGATGACATTATTATGCCTATTGACCAGCGTTCCTGTTGAAAAACTTGGAGATCCATAATACATCATTTTCTCAGAGATATCTTTCAATTGTTGACACATGATTTCGATTTGTCCGCATGCATGAAATACCTAAAATATACTTAAGTATCTGCAAAGATTTCAAGTATTCCGTTTAAAGAGGAAATCTCGATTATAAAAAAAAAGAAGGAAAAAGCAGAATGCAATGCACTCTCCCTCCTCCTCCTCCGCCATTTCTAGTAATCCATTACTATATTATACAAATCTTTTTATCGATTGCCAGTAAACTTTCAGTCATTTATATCGTATTTGGAACATTGCCACAGAGTTGGCGTGAAATCGTGTTCAAGATATTATATTTAATGGTAAAGAACGCTACATTAGATTTCCCTCATCGACGCTTTCAAATTGTGAGCAAAATGGTTATAGCATTTTGCAAAACGTACCAGAGTACAGATCAGACCGGTCACAACATTAACGATAACTGCCGACGACATTCCTTGCAAAAACAAGATTATGACAAGCAGCTCGTAAACCGGCGATTGCTCGGCCGCTGGGGGGAACACCACCATCAGAGGAAAAGGTCGTGTAGTAACATTGTCACCTTTCAGCTTGTGCACTATAGCCATTGCGTTGTCGCCTCCAAAGCAAAATAAGCAATCGATCGAGTTGATAATCAACAAGCCATGTGCGAAAAAACTCGAGATATTAGCTTTCGTCGTCATTATGTGCAAGTGTTGATCGTCTTTCACGCACTCGCGCCAATCAGTCTCCACAGTGGCCAGTACTTCGCGAATCACGCTGCAATTTGTCGCTTTAATCGGATAGAGATACTTGTTGAAATGATGCTTTATCACTTCTCTATACGAGGGATCATATACCACGACGGTAACTAATATTTAGAGACCGTAATTTCTAATTGCGGTTTCGCTTTAACGAAGATCAACGTACGAATGGTTACTCGCTGAGAGATTCTGCAACGATTTCGCCCCGCAAATACGCAATATCGGGAGATTAAGGAAAACATAAAATCACTGTTATCTGCCATAATATCTTACCGATCATATTTCCAAAGTGTTATCAGCTTGATGATGGTCAAAGTATAATACAGAGTCTGCGGTATACTATACATGAGATTTTCCCGTTCGCCATACTTGAAGGACACGTATATGAACAAATATTGAAAGTACTGTATGAAGATTAGGCTCAACACGTAAATCAGTCGGCGAACGTCGGCATAGGGCACGCCCGGCCACACGGCGAATGCTCGAAGGCCGATTTGCACCGACGGACTGATCGTGCTCGTGACAACCATCTGTCCACGGTTCCAAGGATCTCCCAGGAAGCAAAAGTTTGAGCATGCACGATACTCTAGTACACGATAAACTGAGGGACCATCGACCAATCCTCCAAGTGCATCCCCACATGCTACGTCCCCACTCCAATGGCCGTGGATCAATCGTTATTATGCTTTCCGCAATGTAGCAGATAATCGAGATATAACTCATTATGTGCATGCAACGTTTTGTAATACTGTCGTCGCTTTAAATAATGCCTTGTGATCGCGCATTGAAAAAGATATTACATGTTTCCTCCTGCAGATGTCAGCCTTCTCTCTTCTCTCTTTCTTTTTCAAGGACTTTCCTTCACCATCATGCTATACCTTCGATAAATTATGAGTAATTCTTGCATTTTCTGCTGGTACTGAGACTATTAAACGTACAATGACTGCGTCAGTTATTCCAATTGAACGGGATTGAATTATACGACTGAATATGAGACTTAAAAGAAATAAACGAAGGCAGAAAATTTTTCCTCCAGTGTAGTACGGATGTCTCAAACGATCGTCAGTTCTTTTTTCATCTTTTTTTTTGATAATTTTCCTCAGCGATGACATTATACCATCGAAGAGAAGCAAGTAATTCTTGCATTTTCTAGATGCGCCGAAGACAACGCTCGAATGCATTAATTATTCTGACAGAAGGGAATTGAATTGCACACGTGGTCATGAATTTAAAAAAAAAGCAGACGGCGGGAGTACATTGTGTCTTCCTTTAACCACAATTAAATAGCCAATAATGACGAGTTATTTTCATAAATGTTATGAAGAACAGCGTTCTTCGGGATACATATGTGGCAGGAGTCTCAAAAGAAAAAAATTCTGGTAAACTTGACTGGCAGTAGAAAATTAGTTACAAATACAGTGAGTTAAGATCATTATCGTCATACTTTTCTATTGCTCTGTGGTGCATAATACCAGGAATATATCTCATAATCCTCTAGAAAATTTAATACAATTCATCTCCACTCATGTGTCTATTGATCAGTGGCAATTGAAAAGTATTTCTAGATAAAGCTTATTATTTGCCAGACTGTCCTATAAATTCATTAAAATCATGTGTCCGACGTGGTGCACCCGAACAAAGTTTGTGTCACGCGATGAACGATAATAGCTGCTTTGCCAGTTGTTTCATGCACTTTCTTCCAGCGATGTTACAAAAGAAAAATGTTAAAAAAGGAAATGAAGAAACGAGAGACCATCGCTTTCTTTATATATCCTGTATATATTCTACAGCCTGTTTAATGGGCGGAAACGTGGCTGAATTATCGCAGTTGCGTATTAGACATTTAAGCGCGATACGATTTGCATTATAACCGTGGTTATGAGGCTTTTGTAACAGGAATAAAGCAGGAAGAGGGAAAAAAGAGAGGGAAAGAAGTTTTTATTTTTCCTCCATATTGAGGAAGCGTAACATATTGGGAGTGTGCATTAATTTTAAAGGATTTTCAAGAAATGGCGTAACTAGTGCTATATCACATCGGGCCATATTGTTGCTACCTTCATGTGAAAGCACCATCATGTGGCTTTAGTTTTTAGTATGTATCATTTTGCCGAAGTGTAACCAACATTGTTTTTTTGAGCATTGAACATGTCGAATTTTGTGCCAACAAAACGCAATTTGCGGGAAGCTTTGCCTTTTTGCTTCCATTTGAAGAAAAATGCTGCTGAAAGTCAACGAATGCTGTCGGAAGCTTATGGTGATTATACTCTATCGATTTCAACATGTGAGTACTTGTTTCGACGCTATAAAAAAGGTGATTTTGACACGAAAGGCAAAGAACGTCCAGGCCAGCCGAAAAAGTTTGAAGATGAGAAAGTGGAAACTTTACTCGATCAAGACCCGAGACCCAAACGCAAGAAGAACTTGCCGAATCATTAAATGTTGATCGATCAACGATTTCCAGATTGGCCATTTGAAGGCCATTGAAATGATTCAAAAGCAAGGAAATTGGGTGCCGTACGAGTTGAAGCCGAGGGACGTTGAAAGGACAGATCGCAAAATGTCCTGTGAATTGTTGCTTCAAAGACCCAGAAAAAAAGTTTTTTGCATCGTATCGTGACGGGTGATGAAAAATGGATACACTACGATAATCCGAAGCGCAAAAAGTTATGGTGCAGGCCAGGCGAACCATCAACATCGACGACAAAGCCAAATATTCATGGCGCCAAGCTCATGCTCTGTAATTGGTGAGATCAGGTGGGTGTAGTGTATCATGAGCTATTCCAATCTAACGAAACCATCACTGGGGACGCTACCAACAACAATTGATGCAATTGAGTCGAGCATTGAAGCAAAAACGGTCAGATTACGCGAAAAGATACGACAAAGTGATTTTCCAGCACGACAACGCTCGATCACATGTTGCGAAACCGGTCAAGGAAACGTTAGAAGCGCTTAACTGGGATATCCTACCACACCCGCGGTATTCTCCAGATATTGTTCCTTCCAATTACCACCTATTTCGATCGATGACTCATGGCCTGTCTGAGCAGCGCTTCCATTCTTATGAGGATATCAAAAAATGGATCGATTCATGGATAGCCTCAAAAGATGTGTCGTTCTTTCGACGTGGAATCCACCTATTATCAGCAAGATGGGAAAAAGTAGTGGCTAGCGATGTACAATATTTTGAATGATCAATTTATCACCATTTTTTCACAATAAAGCCGTATTTTTACCAAAAAATCCCTTAAAATTAATTACACTCCCAATAAAAACGGATAATTTTCTTCGATATTTGAGTGAGTTAATCTTTTGTCGAGTGTATAAATAGAAGTATGAAAAGTAAAAAAACATGAATCGTCTTGACATAAATTTAAAAAAACTTATTGCAAGCACAAGCGGCAAAAAATGATGTATAAACTGTGCAGAGATATACAAATTTCCGGTGAAGATCCAACTGATTCCTTGGTACTAGGCTAGACATCTATGTTACTATATTCCAAATAAAAATATTATAATATACAGTATATAACAACGCGCAAAACAACAGAATAAGGTATTTATTGCATCTTATTAATTATAAGCTTAGAGTCTGTAACCATCTAATACCTAACACTTTGAATCGGTAACAAGATTCAATATACAATTATTATCTAGTTTCATTGATTACAGCTTCTGAGTTGTCAGCCTATACTAATTATTACGTTAATTATCGCTAATGTTGCCATGCTATAGTTTTAAACGATGTCAATACATCGCATTTAAAACGGATATAAATGAGCAAGAGGCTTTCATGATCTAAAACAAGACAAAACGAATTGTCATCCGGAAGGAGGAGCATATTGTAACAAGGATTGATATTAATTGAAAAAAATACAAAGAATCAAATAGTTATACGTCAAGTAAAACCCATATACTTACGCTGGTGAAAAGTTCTAATGATAAATCTTTCATCCCTCCAGCCGTGATAGTCAGTTGCTTCTGAGACCTCATAATTATGAATAATATGTCTTTACTCTGACTAAGCGACATATTATACCATAAAGCTCCGTATCCTGCATCGCCAAGTGATCTACTCTAAGAGCAATGCAACAAACAGAAACTCAAATAAAATGATATTTTATTTTAGTAAAAAATTACTAACAATTTTTCGTCTATAAACAACACAATATATTTATGATACTGTGGGATACTCTTTTAGGATGGTAAAATGATATTTAATTTAAAGTCGTAAATTAAAAGTCGTTATTCCTAGATAAATTAATTCATCAAATGCAAGTGCGGCTTGTTGAGATTCGACTTTGTTTTTTTCGAATTGATACCTCTCGACGCTTTCACTACTCGCCCTTTTTTCCTACTCATGGTGACGGAACAAAAACTTCGCTTCTTCTTATTCGTTTCGCGACTCGATTATCCTCTATTCCATAAATTTGCGTCTCCACGTCTCCGTCCGAACTATATTGTATTTGTTTTTTCAACACTTTATATTCCAAATATCGCTTTGCATCCAATCATGTGATATCTATATGATATCATCGTGATCATACCGATAAAAATAGGAAATTAATACAAGAAAATAAATAATACAAGTGAAGTTATACGTGTCGTTATATTACAAGCGTTATATTTGCGATTGCTACTTTTAAAAATTATCACAATACACTCAACAATAACGACACACGGATCCTTGCATAATTACTATAGCGACGTATGTATATATGTTGCGTGTATGCTGTGCGTGTGCTCCTTTTTTTTAAATACAATTTACAATTTAAAAAAGACTTACATTGGCAAAAGTCCAATCTAATATCAATATATATTAAAATACAGGTATATTAAAATGTGCTGTAATCACTCTCGAACATATATTGTCATTGAAATTGCTATGTTTAAAAATTAATTATCAAATTAGGCAGCATGAAGAAGTTATTTATACTAAATTATCACTAACCTTCATGCCTAGGTATTCTCCAACGAAACAAAATGTAAAAATTTCCGCCGTTACGATGACACAACCAAATATGCCTTGAAACAGGGCCACACCATCTTCATTATGAGACTGTTTCATTGAATGATCAGAAAAACTAAATTAATTATCGGTACAGATCACTGGACACTCATGTGAACGCTGCGATACTCACTGTCATAAGGTAGATTCCTAGGAAGCAAACTACTAATGTATTGAAAAAAACTTGCACCAAAGCTATGAAGGAGAAAAGCTTCTCAACATTCTTAGCAAATGTGATGACATTATTATGCCTGTTGACAAGCGTTCCTGTTGAAAAACTTGGAGATCCATAATACATCATTTTCTCAGAGATATCTTTCAATTGTTGACATATGATTTCGATTTGTCCGCATGCATGAAATACCTAAAATATACTTAAGTATCTGCAAAGATTTCAAGTATTCCGTTTAAAGAGGAAATATATTTTAAAGAATCTCGATTATAAAAAAAAAAATCTCGATTATAAAAAAAAAAGGAAAAGGCAGAATGTAATGCACTTTCCCTCCTCCTCCTCCGACATTTTTGGTAATCCATTACAATATTTCAGTCATTTATATCATATTTGGAACATTGCCAGAGAGTTGGTGTGAAGTCGTGTTCAAGATATTATATTAAATGGTAAAGAACGTTACATTAGATTTCCCTCATCGATGCTTTTAAATTGTGAGCAAAATGGTTACAGCATTTTGCAAAACGTACCAGAGTAAAGATCAGACCTGTCATAACATTAACGATAACTGTCGACGACATTCCTTGCAGAAACAAGATTAAGACAAGCAGCTCGTAAACCGGCGATTGCTTGGTCGCTGATGGAAACACCACCAGCACAGGAAAAGGTCGTGTAGTAACATTGTCACCTTTCAGCATGTGCACTATAGCCAACGCGTTTTCGCCTCCAAAGCAGAAAAAGCCTTCGATCGAGCTGATAATCAACAAGCCGTGTATGCAAAAACTCGAGATATTAGCTTTCGTCGTCATTATATGCAAGTGTTGATCGTCTTTCACGCACTCGCGCCAATCAGTCTCCACAGTGGCCAGTACTTCGCGAATCACGCTGCAATTTGTCGCTTTAATCGGATAGAGATACTTGTTGAAACGAAGCTTTATCACTTCTCTATACGAGGGATCATATACCACGGCGATAACTAATATTTAGAGACCGTAATTACTAATTTGCGGTTTCGCTTTAACGAAGATCTACGTACGAATGGTTACTCGCTGAAAGATTCCGCAACGATTTCGCCCCGCAAATACGCAATGTCGGGAGAATAGGGAAAACATAAAATCACTGTTGTCTGTCATAATATCTTACCGATCATATTTCCAAAGTGTTATCAGCTTGACGATGGTCAAAGTATAATACATGGTCTGCGGTATACTATACATGAGATTTTGTAGCTGGTCATACTTGAACGACATGTATATGAACAAATATTGAAAGTACTGTATGACGACTAGGCTTAACACATAAATCAGTCGGCGAACGTCGGCATAGGGCACATCCGGCCACACGGCGAATGCTCGAAGGCCGATTTGCACCGACGGAATGATCGTGCTCGTGACTACCATCTGTCCACGGTTCCAATGATCTCCCAGGAAGCAAAAGTTTGAGCATGCACGATACTCTAGTACACGATAAACTGAGGGGGCATCGACTAATTCTCCAAGTGCATCCCCACATGCTAAGTCCCCACTCCAATGGCCGTGGATCAATCGTTATTATGCTTTCCGCAATGTAGCAGATAATCGAGATATAACTCATTATTTGCATGCAACGTTTTGTAATACTGTCGTCGCTTTAAATAATACCTGCTAACCGCGCATTGAAAAAGATATTACGTATTTCTTCCTGCAGATGTCAGCCTTCTCTTTTCTCTCTTTCTTTTTCAAAAACTTTTCCTTCACCACTATGCTATATCTTTGATAAATTATGAGTAATTCTTGCATTTTCTGCTGGTACTGAGACTATTAAACGTACAATGACTGCGTCAGTTATTCCAATTGAACGGGATTGAATTATACGACTGAATATGAAACTTAAAAGAATTAAACGAAGGCAGAAAATTTTGCCTCAAGTGCAGTAGGGTCTTCAGCGATCGGCAGTTCTTTTTCTTTGTATTTTTTTTTTTGATAATTTGCCTCAGGGGCGCCATTATACCATCGATAAGAAGCGAGTAATCCTCGCATTTTGTACGTGTGCCGAGGACAACTTTCCACTGCATTAGTTATTCTAACAGATCAGAATTGAATCGCGCGCATGATCACAAGTCTTAAAAAAAATAAACGGTGGATGTACATTATGTCTTCCTTTGACCACAATCAAATAGCCAATAATGACGAGTAATTTTTATAAATGTTATGAAGAACAGCGTTCTTCGAGATACATATGTGGCAGGAGTCTCAAAAGAAAAAAATTCTTGTAAACGACTGGCTGTAGAAAATTAGTTACAAATACAATGAGTTAAGATTATTATCGTCATATTTTTCTATTGCTCTGTGGCGCATAATACCAGGAATATATCTGATAATCCACTAAAAAATTTAATACAATTCATTTCCGCTCATGTGTTTATTGATCAGTGGCAGTTGAAAAGTATTTCGAGGTAACGCTTATTATTTGCCACACTGTCCTATAAATTCATTAAAATCATGTATCCGACGGTGCACCGGAACAAAGTTTGTGTCACGCGATGAACGATAATAGCTGCTTTGCCAGTTGTTTCATGCACTTTCTCCCAGCGATGCAACAAAAAAGGAAATGAAGAAACGAGAGACTATCGCTTTCTTTATATATCCTGCAGGCTGCTTAATTGACGGAAACGTGGTTGAATGTTCGCAGTTGCGTATTAGACATTTAAGCCGATATGGTTTGCATTGTAACCGTGATTATGAGGTAACAAAATTAAAGGAGAGAGAGAGAGGGATAAAAAGGGAAGGAAAAGAAGATTTTATTTTTTCTCTATTTTGGGGAAGCATAAGATAATAACGGACAATTTGCTTCGATATTTAAGGACGTTGATCTTCTGTCGAATGTATAACTAAAAAAAGTACGAAATGTGAAAAACTTGTATCGAATAGACATAAATTAAAAAAAAATTTGTTACAAGCATAGGCGGCAAAAAGGTTATACTTGAACTGGGCAAGTATGCTTAAATTTCCGGTGAAAGTCCAACGGAAAATTTCTTGATATATCCACGTTATTATTTTTCATGCCAAAATATCATAATATGCATAATATGTTATATAACAACGCGCAAAACAACAGCATAAGGTATTTATTGCATCTTATTAATTATAAGCTTATACTCTATAACCATCTAATACCTGACACTTTGAATCGGTATCAAGATTCAATATACAATTATTACCTAGTTTTATTGATTAGTTTCTAAATTGTCAGCCTTTACTAATTACATTTACCGCTAATACTGTCATTCTATAGTTTTAAACAGCGTCAATACATCGCATTCAAAACAGACATATATGACGCGGACGCTTTCATAATCTAAAACAAAACAAAACAAATTGTTGTCCAGAAAGACGCATATATTGTAACAAGTATTAATATTAATTAGATGAAATACAAAGAATCAAATAGTTATACACTAAATAAAGCCGACATACTTACGCTGCTGAAGAGTTCCAACGATAAATCCGTCAATCCTCCAGCCGTGAAGGTCAATTGCTTCTGAGACCTCATAATTATGAATAATATATCTTTACTATTACTGGGCGACATATTGTACCATAAAGTTTCGTACCCTGCATCGCCGAGTGATCTACTCTAGGAGCAATGCAACAAACAGAAATTCAAATAAAATGACATTTTACTAAGAGAAAAATTTGGGACAGTTTTTCGCCTATAAACACCACAAACTATTTATAATACTGTGAGATCCTCTTTTATTATGATAAAATAATATTTAATTTAAAAGTCGTTCTCACATAAATTGATTTATTAAAGACGAGTGGTGTTTCTGGTGATTCGACTTCGCTTTATTTCTTTCGACGTTTTCGTTACTCGTTCTTTTTTTCTATATATGACGACGCAACAATAATCTTCGCTTCTTTTCGCTCGCTACGCGACTCGATTCTCCTCTATTTCACAACTTTGCATCTCCGTGTCTCCGTCCAAAACTCTATTATATTTAGTCCTTCAACACTTTACAACGATCGCTTGTCTTCAAACATGTGATATCCGTATGATATCAACATGATCACACCGATAAATATAGGAGATTAATAGAAGAAAATAAATAATACAAATAAAGTTATGTCGTTATATTACAAGCGTTATATTTGCCATTGCTAATTTTAAAAATTACCACAATACAATCAACAATAACGACATACGGATCTTTGCATTGTAATTATAGTGATGTACGTATATATGTCGTGTGTATGCTGTGCGTATGCTCCTTTTTTTTAAATACAATTTACAATTTAAAAAAGACTTACATTGGCAAAAATCCAATCTAATATCAATATATATTAAAATAGATATATGTTAAGACGTATGTGTTGTAATTATTTTTTACAGATATTGTCTCAAACGAATTGCTATGCTAACAAATTAATTATCAAATAAGGCAGCATGGGAAAGTTATTTATACTAAATAATCACTAACCTTTATGCTTAGGTATTCTCCAACAAAACAAAAGGTAAAAATTTCTGCCGTTATGGCGGCGTAACCAAATAAGCCTTTGAACAAGGCAATACCATCTTCATTATGAGACTATTTTATTCAATGATCAAAAAAACTACATTAATTATCGATGTTGATCAGTCTGGACACTCATGTGGACGCTGTGATACTCACTGTCATAAGGAAGAGTCCTAGGAAGCAGACTACCATGGTATTAAAGAAAACTTGCATCAGAGCTATGAAGGAGAAAAGCTTGTCAACATTCTTAGCAAATGTGATGACATTATTGTGCCTATCGACCAGCACTCCTGTAGGAAAATGTGGAGATTCACTACACATCATTTTCTTAGACATATTTTTCAGCTCTTGACATGTGATTTCGATTTGTCCACATGCATGAAATACCTAAAATATACTTAAGTATCTGCAAAGATTTCAAGTATTTCGTATTTAAAGAGGAAATACATTATAAAAAATCTCGACTATAACGAAAAAGAAGGAAAAGGCAGAATGCAACACACTCTCCCCATTACTTCTCCGCCATGTGTCTGGTAATCCATTAGTAAATTACAAAAATATTTTTATCAGTAAACTTTCAGTCACCTAGATCGAATTTTGAATATTGTCAGACAGTTGGTGTGAAAACATATTCAGGACATTATATTAAATTGCAAAGAATGCTACATTAGATTTCCCTCATCGACGCGTTTAGATTGTGAGCCAAATGGTCACAGCATGTTGCAAAACGTACCAGAGAAAGGACTAGACCGGATATAATATTAACGAGAAATGTTGTCAACATTCCATGCAGAAACAAGATTATGACAAGCAGCTCGTAAACCGGCGATTGCTCGGCCGCTGAGGGGAACACTACCCTCATCGGAAACGGTCGTGCAGTAACATTTTCACCTTTCAGCATATCCGCTATAGCCAGCATGTTTTCGCCTCCGAAGCAGAATAAGCCATCGAACGAGCTCATAATCAACAAGCCGTGTGCGCAAAAACTCGAGAGTTTAGCTTTTGTCGTCATTATGTGTAAGTGTTGATCGTCTTTCACGCACTCGCGCCAATCAGTCTCCACAGTGGCCAGTACTTCGCGAACCAGGCTGCAATTCGTCGCAATAATCGGATAGAGATACATCTTGAGCCGCGGCATTATCACTTCTCTATACGAGGGATCATATACCGCGGCGTCAACTAATATTTAGAGAGCGTAATCATTAATTGCAGTTTTGCGTTAACGAAGATCAGAGGACCAATGGTTACTTGCTGAGAGATTCCGTAATGATTTCGACACGCAATATCGGGAATATCGGAAAAATATAAAATCACGTTGCCTGTCACAATATCTTACCGATCGTACTTCCAAAGTGTTATCAGCTTGACGAGGATCAAAGTATAATACATGGTCTGCGGTATAGTATACATGAGATTTTGCAGTTCGCCATTCTTAATGATCATATATATGAATACATATTGAAAGTATTGTATGACGACTAGGCTCAACACGTAAATCAGTCGGCGAACGTTGACGTAGGGAACGCCCGGCCACACGGCGTATCTTCGAAGGGCGAATTGCAGCAATGGACTGATCGTGCTCGTGACTACCATCTGTCCACGGTTCCAAGGATATACTAGGAAGCAAACGTCGGAGAATATACGATTCTCTAGTACACGATAAACTGAGAGAGCACCGACCAATCCTCCAAGTGCATCCCCACATGTTACGATCCCCACTCCAATGGTGGCGGATCAATCGTTATTATGCGTTCCGCAATGTAACAGAAAATCGAGATACAACTCATTATGTGCATGCAACGTCTTGTAATTCTGTCAGCGCTTTAAATAATGCCATCTGACCGCGTATTGATAAAAAATATTTCGTTTTTCCTCCTGCAGATGTCAGCTTTCTCTCTTTTCTGTTTCTTTTCCAAGAAATTTTCTTCACCACAATGCTATATCTTCGATAAATTATGAGTAATTCTCGGATTTTCTGCTGGTACCGAGACCATTAAACGTGCTATGACTGCATCAGTTATTCCAACTGAACGAGACTGAATTATACGACTGACTATGAGTCTTAAAAGAAAAACGAAGGCAGAAAATTTTGCTTCCAGTACAGTAGGGATGTCTCAAGCGATCGTCAATTCTTTTTCCTTCTTTTTTTTTGATAATTTTCCTCAGCGACGACATTATACCATCGAAGAGAAGCGAGTAATTCTCGCATTTTCTACGTGCGCCGAGGACAACGCTCAACTGCATTAATTATTCTGACAGAACGGAATTGAATTGCACGCGTGGTCACGAGTTTTAAAAAAAGCAGACGGCGGAAGTACATTGGGTCTTCCTTTAAGATCGAATAGCCAATAATGACAAGTAATTTTTATAAATGTTATGAAGAACAGCGTTCTTCGGAGTGCACATGTGACAGGAGTCTCAAAAGGAAAAAAATTCTGGTAAACTTGACTGCCAGTAGAAAATTAGTTACAAATGCAGTGAGTTAAGATCAGTGTCGCCGTACTCTTCTATTGCTTTATGCCGCATATTACCAAGAATATACTTCACAATCATCTAGAAAGTTTAATACAATTCATCTCCACTCATATGTCTATTGATCTGTTGTAATGAAAAGTATTTCGAGGAAATGCTTGTTATTTGCCAGACTGTTTTATAAATTCATTAAAATCATGTGTCCAATCGCGCATTCGAACAAAGTTCGTATCACGCGATGAACGATAATAGCTGCTTTGCCAGTTGTTCCATGCACTTTCTTCCAGCGATGCTACAAAAAGGGAAATGATAAAACGAGTGATCACATCGATTTCTTTATATATCATGTATATATCCTGTTTAATAAACGGAAACGTGGTTGAACAATCGCAATTGCGTATTAGACATTCAAGCTGATCGGATTTGCATTGTAACCGTGGGTATGAGACTCTTGTAAAAGAAATAAAGGGGTGGAAGAGGTAGACAGAGAGAGGGAAAGAAAAATTTTATTTTTTCTCTATATTAAAGAAGGGTAACATAATAACAGGCAATTTTCATCGATAGTTTTGTAGGAATTGACTTTTTGTCGAGTATATAACTAGAAGTATAAAAAGTAAAAAATTGGAATCGACTAGACATAAATTTAAAAAAAATTGGTGCAAGCACAATTGTTGCAGCGGCAAAAAGATGCTATCTGAACTGATGCTCAAACCTCCAGTAAAAATTTAACAGAAAATTTCTTGGTACTAGGCTATACATCCACGTTATTATTTTCCAGATATCGTAATATGCAGCATATAAAAACGTGCGAACCAGCAGCATAACGTATTTAATGCATCTTATTAATTATAAGCTTAAATTCTGTAACCACCTAATACCTGATACTTTGAATCAGTATCAAGATTAAATATACAATTATTATCAAATTTCATTGATTACAGCTTCTAAATTTTCAGCCTACTAAATACACCATTTGTCGCTAATGTTGCCATGCTATAGTTTTAAACGATGTCAATACATCGCATTCAAGATGGACATATATGACGCGGACGCTTTTATGATCTAAAACAAGACAAAAGGAATTATCATCTAGAAAGAGGTGCATATTATAACAAGAATTGACATTAATTAGGAAGCATTCAAAGAATCAAATAGTTATACATCAAATACCAAACCCAAGTATCAAATCCACATACTTACGTTTGGTGAAGAGTTCGAACGATAAATCCGTCATTCCTCCAGCCATGATCGTCAGTTGCTTCTGAAACCTCATAATTATGAATAATATGTCTTTATTGTCACTTTGTACATACGTCGGCGTTATATTGTACTATAAAATTTCGTATCTTATATCGCCGAGTGATCTACTCTAGGAACAATACAAAAAACAGAAATTCAAATAAAATGACGTTTTACTTTAATAGAAAAATTAGAAACTGTTTTTCGTCTATAGGATCTTTTAGGATGGTAAAATGATATTTAATTTAAAAGTCGTTTTCCCACATAAATTGATTTCTTAAATACGAGTTGTGTTTGCGGGAATTCGACTTCGCTTTGTCCGAATTGATATCTGTCGACGCTTTCACTACTCGCTCTTTTTTCCTACACGTAACGGCGCGTTACAATGTAATAGAAAATTGAGATATAACTCATTATGTGCATGCAACGTCTTTTAATTCTATCGGCGCTTTAAATAATGCATTCTGATCGCGTATCGAAAAAAAAATTACATTTCTCCTCCGACAGATGTCAGCCTTCATTAATTTTTTTCTTTTTCAAGAATTTTCCTCCACCTACAATACTATACCTTCGATAAATTACATGTAATTTTCGCATTCTCTATTAGTATCGATACCATTAAATGTATAATTATTGCATCAGTTATTCCAACTGAACGGGACTGAATTATACGACTAACTATAAGTCTTAAAAGAAACAAACAAAGGCAGAAAGTTGTGCTTCCAGTGCAGTAGGGGTGTCTCGAGCGATCGTCGGTTTTTTCCTTCCTTTTTTTCGATAATTTTCTTCAGCAGCAGTATTGTACCATTGATGAGAAGTGAGTAATCCTCGCATTTTGCACGTGTGCCGAGGACAACATTCGACTGTATTAGTTATTCTAACAGAACGGAATTGAATTGAACACGTGAACATGAGCCTTAAAAAAAGCAGACGGTGGAAGTACATTTTGTCTTCATTTGACCACGATCGAACAGCCTATAATAATGAGTAATTTTCATAAATGTTATGAAGAACAGCGTTCTTCGGGGTGCACATGTGGCAGGAGTCTTAAAAGAAAAAAAATTCTAATTAACTTGACTCGTAGAAAATTAGTTACAATTACAGTCAGTTAAGATGAATATCGTCATATTCTTCTTTGTTCTACGCCGCATAATACCTTGAATATATCTCATAATCCATTAGAAAGTTTAATACAATTTATCTTTTCTCATGTGCCTACTGATCAGTTGCAATTGAAAAGTATTTCAAAACAGCGCTTATTATTTGCCGGACTGTCCTATAAATTCATTAAAATCATATGTCCGACAGCGCACCCGAACGAAGTTGGTATCACGCGATGAACAGTAATAGCTGCTTTGCCAGTTGTTTCATGCACTTTTTTTCAGCAATGCTACAAAAAAAAATGATAGAATGAGCGACTATCGCTTTCTTTACATATACTGTAAATATCCTGCAGAATGCTTAATGGACGGAAACATGGTTGAACAATCACAGTTCCCTATAAGACATTTAAGCCTATCGGCATTGTAACCGAGATTATGAGGTTCTTATAACAGAAATAAAAGAGAGAGAAGGCAGGAAAGAGAAAGAGAGAGAAAAAATATAACATGTGCCAGATTATGATTTATAGATTTATAGAATTCGTGTTTCCGGAACAGGTAAGTATTTGTTTATATAATTTGGTTATACAAATAAATATATTCTAATGAACTCATTTAATTAGCAAATTAATTATTTTTTAATTATTAATTAAAAATTATTAATTATTCCTTACACACACAGGAATCAGGAAAATATTTGTTTATGATAATAAATATATTTTAATAAACTCAATTAACAAATTAATTATTCTTAATTAACTTATTAATTATTATAGTTAACTGGCTTAAATAACATGTTATTGCAGGAATCAACTTAACTTAAGAATAATTATTATGAATTCATGTTTCCAGAACAGTTAGGTATTTGTTAATGCTAATAAACATATTCTAATAAACTCGTTTAATTAACAGTTTAATTATTCTTTTCAGGAATCAGGTAACGAAAAATGATTACAAAAAAAAAGTTGTGTTGTTTGTCACAACATCTTACTGATGATACTTCCAAACTGTGGTTATCTTGAAGACGATTAAACTGTAATATACAACTCCCGGCAAGCTGTCTACGAGATCATGTAGCTCGCTTGCAGATCTTGAATATATACAGATACTTAAAGTACTGCACGATGAAGGTGATTGATAGATAAATCAGCCGGCGGACGACGGTGAAAAATACGTCCAGCCATATGTCGAATATTGGGAGCCAAGTTTTAGCAATGGATAAATCGTGCTTGTGACTACCATCTGTTGACAATATTGAAGATAATCTAGAAAATCGCGAAAATCGGAGCACGTACGACACTCTCATCTACGATGAACTGAGAGAACGTCGAACAATTCTCCAAGTTCATCTCTACGCGCTGCGTCTCTACCGGTGAAGAAAGATCAAACGTTTATGTGTTTCGTATTATAGCAGTAAACGTCGATATAAAACTCGTTGTTTTTATGTACATTCTGTAATTGTACGTCCTGTAGTTGTTTCGCCAACATTCTAAATAATGTATGCTAATTGCGCATCGGACGTCTGTCATCACTTTTTCTGTTTTTTCGAGACTTCTGCTCCACGACGAGGCTCTATCATCCGTAGAATGGGACTTTCGCATTTTCTACATGTACTGAAGACCATTCCACGTACAAGAACTGTATTAGTTATTTTAACAAAACTAAGCTGAGCTACATGCGTGGCACGAATATTAAAAGAATTAATTGAGGGGATTGTGCCTTCCCTTGGTCTAAAATAATGGTGAGTCATTCTGAGAAATGCTACGGAGTAATCCTGCATTACCTGGAATGCACATGTAATAGAAATCTCAAAAGTAAAAAATTGTAATCAATCGAGTTCCTCGTAGAATCTTAGTTACGGCTGTAAACAAACAAGATATCATGGAACCTTTATATACGCAAATCTTTTCAATTAAGGTTCAACAGCTAATTCTTTGAACTAGGGCTACCCACATCATCATTGTTGAAAATATTTTGATAACATACAATATGTAACAATAAAATAACAAAAACAGATATATATTGTATTGTATTAAAGCCGGGATTTTGTAACCTGCAAAATCCCCGATTACACTTGAATAGATATTAATCAAGAATTAATTTATAATTATAATATAATTATATAATTATATAATTATAGTATAATTTCTTTTGATAATGTTTTTAAATTGTTATTGTATAAATTAACCCTATTGTACTGTAATTTAATATGATATTAATACGTTGCATTCAAAACAGATATAAATGATGCTGAAGTTTTCATGATCTAAAATGAGATAAAACATACTATTATTTGCAAAAGTGTTTATATGTGTGTGTGTGTGTGTGTGTGTGTGTGTGTGTGTGTGTGTGTATACAGGGTGAGTCATTTTAATCGAACCAGGCAAATATCTCGAAAAATATGGAAAATACGGAAAAATATTTCAAACAAAAGTTGTATGGTTCGGAGGAGGACATAAAATAGTGTAATTGGTTTGACCCTGGATAGTTGTTTAAAAGTCACGTGAAGGTTACCTTCAATTTCTTAAATAGAAACTTCCATTTTTTATTGTATATTCTCGTAGCTTACCTCGAGAGCTTTCCAAAACACTATAAAGTATTTTTTCATTAAGTACTTAATGAAAAAATACTTTATTATAGTGTTTTGGAAAACTCTCGAGGTAAGCTACAAGAATATGTAGTGAAAAATGGAAGTGTTCATTTAAGAAATTGAAGATGACTTTCACGTGACTTTCAAACGACTATCCAAGGTCAAGCCAATTACATCATCTTATGTCTCAGAACCATACAACTTTTGTTTGAAATATTTTTCCGTATCTTCCATATTTTTAGTGATATTTGCCTGGTTTGATTAAAATGACTCATCCTGTATATATATATATATATATATATA